CATTAAAACTTATTTTACTTACATAATGTACGTACTTACATATGTTTTATTAAAATTTCCAGTTTATTAAAAGTTTTATTTTTTTATTAGTTAGAAAGTATTTTTGTTATACTAAATTACATTAAAAATCTTTGTGAAATAAATATCCATTTCTAAGTATTCGAAACACAGTTACGGGATATAAATGGTATTTACGTAGATAGAGTCATTACTGTAATCCTTAAATCTAACGTTTACATTGATATCGTCGATTTGCGATAAGAAGCATAATTTTTTCAGAAATACTCTGAATGGTCTAACTAGGATCATTAACTAGACAATCTGAAATCTAGAATTATAAATATATCTACATATAATCACTACATAATATGAAACAAAGTCGCTTTCTCTGTCCCTATGTATTCTTAAATCTTTAAAACCACACAACGGATTTTGATGCGGTTTTTTGTTAATAGATACGGTGATTCAAAAGGAATGTTTTTATGTATAAATCAAGACCACGCGGACGAAGCCGCTGGCGGAAAGCTAGTTAATTATAAACTGGTAATAAACAAACGACGAACTTTACGATTACAAAGAATTTGGTGCCGTAATTTTTTGTTCCAGAACAAACTTCGTTCGTTATTGTACCAAAAAACAAAAATAAACATTTTCTTGCTAACAAATAAACATGGAACGCGTGGAATGAGTCAAGGTTTACATTACAATGAATAAAGTTCAAAAATATCTTTGTGTCATATATAAATAATCTATTTGAAGTGTGTGGGTGTCTGTCTATATTCATAAATGTAAGTAGTATATTTTTTAAAGGTACCTGCTTAAAAAGTTAATTAATGAACTTTACTTACGACTAATGACAAGAAAATAAAAGTTACACAAATATTTAAAGGTTGTTGTGTTGTTTTATATTATAAACTTCTGATAGTGAAAGTATTATAAGGCAAATCATTTATATTCGAGGCATAGCATTGACTGAATTTAAATTCATTGCTATTCATAACCAATGCCATGACGCTCTTTAGTGCAAGTCGCCATCGTCTGGCTCAATCTGTCTCATTGACTCACACGTCGTAATTTGTCTCGATTTTGCTTCATCTCACAATTAGAGTATAGCTGTATACGGAATTGCTATCATGGACTTCATTTTTATCGAATTACCGATACATAGTAGACGCTCGGTGGCGTTGTGGATAAGCGCCGCGGCCCGCGATCGTAGTCGTTAAGCAACTTTCGCAAGGGTCGGTCACGGGGTGGGTGACCAAAAATTATTGTCTCGAGCTACTCCGTGCTTCGGAAGGCACGTTAAGCCGTTGGTCCCGGCTGCATTTGCAGTCGTTAATATCCTCCAATCCGCATTGGGCCAGCGTGGAGGGTCATGGTCCATCCTCCTTAACCATCCATAAGGAAGGCCTGAGCCCCTGCAGTGGGGACGTAAAAGGGCTGGTGATGGTGGTGATGTGATGAGTAGACGCAATTGTGACTTAATTGTATCTATAAATGAAACAACTTTTTAAAGGTTTCATCGCGTTTGTATTTAGTTTTATTAACATTTCGGACCCTTTGCAGCTTCCATGTTCACATAAGACTAAGGTATTGATTGTCTTTATAATTTAAAGTATAGCTATCTTCAAAACAATGTTATTGGATATAAATATAAAGACAGGTGTTTCCATTTATGGATAGTGCGCATGAAAATATAAAAATTTATTATAACTCTCACTTTTTGTATTTAGAATCTACCTTATAATAGTTAAACAGTGATATTCTGTAAAAAACACTACGAATCAATTAAAACTTACTATAAAAGTTAATGAAGGCTTTTCATTGAACCTTCATGTTGTACTACTATGCTCGACATTCAGTTCCAGGCTGATTTTATTACAGATTAGCAAAGCAGGAAACGCATCTAAAGCAAGTTACTATAATAACGTTTCATTATGTAAATATGTATAAACAATATTCTTTAAATGTTCAAAACATTATTTATTAACTTTAATTTAATTTATTTAGTTATTTCGTGATAATACAATTCAATTCAAAAAAATAAAAATATATCAAATAATTTAAAAAACACAATAATCAGTAGTTTATTACAATGTTGTCAGAATTAAATTTGTACACGTAAACTTTTTGTAAATGCCATAATAAAAATAAAAAACATTAATTGTGTTAAAAATACATATTTATCATATAGTATATCTATAAAATAGAATGTTAACTTATATGAACTCTTTCTGTTTACGAAGTCACATCTAATAAGAACATGCCCAACAATACCAAATATTTTTATCACGTGAAAACGTATAATAAGCACTGTTATCAATGAAAGTATTCTTAATACTGAAAAAAAATCTTGACGAAAACCTTTAATATTTCTTACGTGTATATTATTTTTAATCTCTTTAATCATAAATTCCTTGATATCCTTGGCTTCTTATATGCTTAGATATCCATAGGGAACTCTGCCAATCATTATTCATATCGCACATGTTTATCGCCCCCTCCATCTCCGCATCGTCATCGTTTCATGATTCTCAATCCACTGACGCATAAGGTTATTTTCAGCTTGCTTTAGCAATCTTGCTGCCATGAATCAGTACAATTTGTCGCCATAACGGTAATATTTCCACACATAAATAAATTTATAATCTCATTTTTTATGTAACAAGCTATTGATTTATCAACATAAAAAAAATGACGGCATAAATTATAGTATATTTTTATCTTCGTTATTATTTATTGGTCGTTAATATGTTTGGTACGACGACATTAATTAACAAAGCCGTTTAATTTGCCAAGACAGATGTAGTTCAACTCTTATAAATTCAGACTAGTCATAGGGAATTCTCAGACGCATCTTCGACTTCTATATGCGCCCACGCAAACCTCGGTGAGATACACAAAGCTTAAAGCTCCCTCTGAGCTCAGTCCACGCGCAAGCACGCTAACGGAAACATCTCCCGAAAAAATATTCAAATTATATTTTTACAGTGCTCTGCTATTTGAAAGGATTTTGGTTCACATCCAGTTTTAAGGTATTTACCTTCAAATATTTATCTTTTCAATCGTATTGTTTTCCTCTATTTGCGACTGAAATATCTAATTTTAAATGGCATTTCAAAAAACGACACCGTGTCTTACTGTTTGATAAAAATAATGAAGTATAGTCGCCACATGATATGAGTACATTGGTATTTTATTTTTCGCTTGTAAAATGAATAAAGTTTATGAAATATCATCAAATTTATTTATTATTTTAACAAGTTAAGACGAGGCATAAATAGTTATTAGACGAAACTGGAACCTATTGTTATTTGATGATTCCGGACCTTTTAGAAATAAATTTGACGGCAATCTATTTAGAGTAAGATTATAAATCAAGGAATTATCTCGATATAATAATAATATTAATCGCTATCCCTCTATTACAATTTTAGGAGGGAATTGTTATTAGACTTGAATACATCTTCAATTAATTATAAAATACATCTTCAATAAAAAGTCTTGCCTTTTTAGCTTAAATATTTTTTGTTATTATATAATATGTAAAGCTGTAATAGACAGCACTCATGATTAATTCACATTAATGTTAATTTGCATATAGCAGTAAGATTTCTTTTTATCCATATACCATTGTTTATACCATTCTTTATCTTTATTCCCGTAACTTTTAAAATTTTAAATTTTTTCGACATTTAACGGTTCACATAAATATTTAATCTAGGATGTTATATTTTACTAATGTTTCATTATTCATATATTCCGTCATCAATAATAATAATCAATAATTATGGTTATTTGATTTGACATTAGTGTAATTCATTAATAATAGTCAGAATATTTGTGCATTGTATTCCCAATGGAATTCACTTTCCACCGTTCGTGTTCATTTTAAACTCTATAGAGTTGCCGTGACTCGAAGACACTTTAACAACGTAAATTTAAATGCGGACCAAACATTTTGTTTGGCGTGTCGCCAACTATCCATTCCTATCAAACTAAGATTACTAAATCACAAAATGCATCATGAGTCACCAGTCAGAACTCAGTAGAATACATTTTGTTCAAACTTTAACAATAATATACTATTATAATGATAAAATAACTTGTCAGTTTTTCAGTTAGTATATGTATGTATACTAGAGTCATGGATTCCAAAACATTAATACCTATTCTCATGGTTTTCTAGAAAATACAAATCTACTTCAAAATGTCTGAAAGCAAAACTCTTGAAGCTGGACAGCAACTGGTGAAGAGAACAATGGATGAGCTGGTCCAACAGAAACAAACAACAGAAAAAGTATCTATCCAAGCCAGGCAGGAGTTCCGTGAACAATACCAAGAGAGTTACGAGGAAGAATTTGAAGAGGAAACATTCATCGATGAACATGGCAACGCTACTACTAAAAGGGTGGAATCCAGCAGCGAAAGCAAAGAACATTCGAAGAGCGCAGACGTCAAAGTAAGGGCCTCGGGCTTGAATGCGGAACAAATGAAGGCCCTTACCGACTGTGCAAATCAAGCGGGCCAGCTGGCGCTCGATTCAAAGGCTGCAAACGAATGAATGTAATTAAAACATAATATAATAACTCTAATTCGAATAAGAGAAATGAAATTGAGTCTATGCTAATTTCACAATTTAACCTTTAGAAAAAATTAAAATGCTAGATTATATTAAATGACAACAAAACATTTTAATAAAATTCAATGAGAGGTACTATTTAAATGTGATCGTTGTTCGAGACATAGGAACTAACTATAATTTTACCGCTTTAATTTTAAGTAACAATTTCTAATAATACATATTTTGTTTCAGGTGCTCTTTATGAAAATCGTGTGGTGGTCTCAAAGAGTGATTAAGACTGTGTCCAGTGTTCCTTATTTTATGTTATTATTAAGCTAAATGTTATGAAAATCAATAAATAATTATTGAAATTTTGAAATGGTGTGTTGATTAGTGTCGTGCACTAGTATTTTAGGTATAAATACGGTATTTAAAAATGGAGGAAGAAGACGACGAAAGAAAGAATAGGAGGCCAAACCTCGCGACCTTCAGCTCGCTGAATGCTCGCATTGTTCACTCATCATTAGAGGAGGGCACGATCCATCAACAAACGTCTGCCGAATCCAACGAAGCGAACACATGCTCAAGTATTTCGACAGCCCAGTATAGTGACAGAAGTTTTATGTCAAAAATTAGTACACTTTCTCGAAGCGGCACTTCGAGCTCGAGCCAGGAGGAATGCGAGATGGCTCATACTACCGTTACTAGTGGACAATATCTATCAGCAGCTCGGGTAGAAACCGCTCGGTCTATGGAAAGTCTCCGTCCAAGTAAAGATACGTCTCCAGCGCGACCAGCAAGCTCTTGTACGTCAGTTAGAACGCACAGAAGTTCTTTCTTGACTGCAAGCGAGCGTGATGTGAGGGAGGCACGTGGTGCGCCGGCTCGGCGTGCACTATCAGGCGAAGATATGGGTAATGCGGAAAAACGGCGTGGTTTATTCGCTAGTACTGAACGGCGGGCATTACAGCAACTTAGTTTGCCTCCTCCAGAGCGCAGGCTAACCATTCTCAGCCCACATAGTCCGATGGCGATTACTGAACTGCAGTGGCCCACTCCGACAGGTATAAGGGGCCGACGGAAAAAGGGGATGGTCCTTCCCAAACTGATATTACCACGCAGTGATTCAGATGGCTCGGAGGTATTTTTTGAAAGGTGATTTTTTTATATATTATCTTTCCTGGTGTGATTCCGTTTCTTATCTGATCTGAAGAAGAATTTCAATTCATGATAGTAAGTTATATTAATCATATGTTGTAATCAGAATCCATAATCCCTTACAATGAACTAGTATTAATGTAGGTAATCTGCAATTTATTTTATTAGCTCGAAAACACAAGATCTATCATCTGAAAATGGTTTGTTCCATCTTTATTTTTGCTGTCATAGTTTTTTTGACATATTGCTGTCCTTTTTTATAATAGGTAAAAAAAATGATTATTATAGATATAACATCATAACCCGTGTTAGCAAAAATAACTGTTTTGAAAAATATGACTTGTGTTTTGTTTAACACGAGATTCGAAATAACGCGGGTAAGTAAACTACATTTCGTGATGCTGAATTAATGACATTTGCGTTTTTGCCAAGAGAAATGTTCACAAAGAGTCGTGCGTCATGTGCGAGATTTCACAACGCCCCGCTTTATACATTTCTTCGAGCAAAAATACTTTATGCTGTAGTCAAGGTACATAATTTTTATTAGAACGTAACAGAGGGTCGCTTACACTTCCTGCGAGTTCATTGCTTTCATCGCTGTTCTTTTTTTTTTCTTTAATGTTTTTATAAAATAATGTGAAATAAAGATATGTGTAAATTTTATTAAAAAGATATAACGTCTTTTCAAGTATGACGCACATCATAATACTTAAATTAAATAGACATCTGGAAACATTTATACTGAGAATTAATAACTGTATCCAATTTTCTAATTTGATCAATTTCCCATTCACAATGCTATACTGAAAAATATTCTTAATGGAAAATGTTTAATAAAAAGTATCAATTAGATTTGTTAAGCATTTTCCATTAACTTTATCCTAGTCAGAATCTTGGAAATTTTCGTTGTCTATGCGACCATTTATTCTTTATTAGTAGGCAAATAAACTTTTTTATTGAATTGCAAAAGTAACTGATTAGTATTTTGATTTTGGACTTTTTAGTACATCCCTTCATATTGTCATAATTAGAGCATGTTAATGAAATCTTTAAAATGGAAAATCTTTAAATTGCATCTGAAATCGCCTAAATTGCGGATAATATTTAATTACATATTATTGATATTTTATTATATATTTAAAATCTAAAAGCTATATCAACATTCTAATCAAATTTAAAAAGAAAAAGATTTGGAAAATAAGCGTGATATTACTTTCCACCTAATAGTATTATGTTAACAAATGAGACATATCTAGTTCCCTTTATCAAATAATGAAGAATGCAGTTTGTCGAATCAAATGTGGAATATCAAAACCGAAATAATATTCAAGATGATTTAGTAACGAAAAGAAATTCAAAATTGGCAATAAAAAAAAATCATCTCATTTCCCCAGTCCAACCACTTAAGACGGGATGTTGTGAGATTGCAATCTAAAGAATAAAAAGAAAATGTTTTCATTTCCACGTAAAAACTGAGCATAAATTAAACATTAAAATGTATACATTTATTTCATTTATTTTAATACAACTAGGATAACATTTTTCAATACATTTTTGGTGAGTCTGATTTTTCTATGCAGAGAGTCAAATGATAGGCTCAACTTTTGAAACCATCAACACTCAGTAATCCTCACTTGGCTCTCATGGTCCGTTTTACCTTTTTAAATTAATCCGCCTTTTTAAGGTTCGAACCAGCAGTGGTGACTTCAATATGATATTGAGGATACATTAGAATTGTGGATTATCTTTAAAGCTCGGGAAGAAAGACGTTATTAATTAAATATACGACAGGTTACCACAATATGTCAAACCGCAATCAATTTTAAAGTATATCGTTAAAGTAAAGGATGAAAAACCATTTTTCAAAAATAAAATCGACTTCAAATTGGAAAAAGTAAAAAATAATACTTACCTTAAAAGCGGTAAAATTTCTCAACAAACATTGAAATCGGGCCAAGATTACAAGATATATGTAGTTTATTAAATGATAACCGCCCACTCCAATGTTTTTAGAAAAATGTATTTATTTATGATACTATATAAGTATACAAATATCTCGTTTAGTAATAATATATTACTCTACTGGATCTATACTTATTACATTTATTAAGATAAGTAGTAAGATTACATTATGTTGTTTTATGCGATAATAAAGCTTAAAATTAAGCGAATGAGCGAAAGTTTTATCTTTAAGAGGGTCAAATAAATTCCTATGATTTTAAAATTGGACGGTGTCCAATCGATCGATCTTTAGTCTAACTAAATTATCAGAAGACTCCGAAAATACAATTCATTTACTGAGTATCTGACATCATTACTGATGACTAAAAATACTTTAGAACAAAAGCATTCGTAACAAAACAAGACTTTCTTTCCTCTCTTTGAACGCATGTAAAAATAAAATCAGAGCGACTCATGTTTCATTTACAGCACACATTTCTTTGAGAACCCTTGTAATATAAAAAACATTACAAGTGGATGAATAAAGATCATCGTAAGCCAAGTGTATATGAAATTAACCTATGGAAACTGGGAATAAGGAAAGTGTCGTGAGCGTGACATTATTTAATATTTCTTTCCTATTACCGATGATAGTATATTGATAGCATAGGAATTCTATGTCAACTTTTAAAAATATAAAAAATATTCTAGATATGCTGTACAAATTGTTTTTTCCTTATCACGCTCCCAGCTATTTTCATTCATTTTATATAGAATAACAAAGCATTATCGAAGTGAGAGACGCCGAAAGGGCACCTAACTAGAATTTTAAAGACAAAACCAAAAAAACTGAAAAAATAACTTGCTGGAACAACTTCGGTCAATATTTGTTAGATTTCACCCGCTTAATTTATTACTTATGTCTTCCACGTATGATGTAGTTTCACGTAGGTGAAAGAATTTTTTATAATCGATCCACAAATTTCGGAGCCTCTTTGACGCAAACAAACAAACAATCAATTTTCTCTTTTTATAATATTAGTGAAAATATACCTACATACTATAGCTGTCATTTAATTTCATAGACCTAAAAATGATTTTACACTATGTGATTAGATTACTCGTATTTTATTACCTGGAAACGAATGACTGTAAATTAATTTATTATAAGAATCACAAATACCTATTTAACAAATTATCGTTTATTTTTATGATACGATATAATTTATCTAAGGGATTGTAGGTTAATTTGTATATTCATTATATTACTAGCATCCCTGGCAAGACGAAAGAGAAGAAAGTGGCAACCCTTTCCAGCCTTGTAAGTGGCGCATTCAACCTTTTCCATAACTGACAGTTTACCCCCAATTTATTTTAACAATAACAAACATGTTAAAATACCGATTTAACAAATATTAATGAGTTATTATTTGACAATGCCAACCGTTGCTTTAATTTGTATTTTATATTCGTTGTATTACTAGCGTCCCTGGCAAGACGAAAGAGAAGAAAGTGGCAACCCTTTCCAGTGGCAACCCTTGCATCGCATTCCACAGTCAATGTTAAAGTCAGCGTGACAGATATTGTCAAATTTAAAATAAACCTTAACTTTAGTTTCAATTATGGTGCAACCCAGGCTGAGATTAGGACAAACCTTCGCTGCAACATGCGATCTCTTTGCACAAACGCCCTGGTTGTTACTAAAAATCAGTTGTCGCAATGGTATATAACTGTATAAAAGAAAGTTGATGGGATGGATAAGTCAGCAATTACGACGTTAATAAATTTATCAAACTTGTAAGGGGTTGGCGACAGAGAGAGAGACACTGTGATTTTACACAAGGATATCAATGGGGCGCGTTCGGACTGCGTTACTGTAAACTATTTTCGCAAGGTCCATTAATTCATTCATGGGATGGGTGACACAATAAATACTATCGCTAGTTTCTCGGAAGGAATCTTCAGCAGTTGATCCTGTTGTATCAGTTGTTAATAATGGCCAATCCGCATTGGGCCTGCGTGGTGGGTTATGTCCCGTTCTTCCTAATTGATTCCATTAAAACGAAGGCCTGAACTCTACAATTGGTGTAGTAACATTAATAGGCTAGTGATGATTGATGTTGATTACGTATTCCTCGGATATTTTCTGTCATTTCGTTGCGAGTTGACGTCAGAATTCAATAAGCGGTAATGAAGTTATTGATATTTTAATTTAATTTAAATAATAAAATTATAGTAGCTAGATGGTGTAGTGTATAAGCGCCGCGGCCCGCGATGGTTGTTGTTAAGCAACTTTCGCAAGGGTCGGTCACGAGATTGGTGACCAAAAAGTTATTATCTTGAGCTACTCCGTACTTTTGAAGGCACGTTAAGCCATTGGTCCCAGCTGCATTTTCAGTCCTCAATATTCTACTACATTGCCCATTTTCCATAACCATACTTAAGGAAGGCTAAAACGACTGTAGTGGGGACGATGATGATAAAGGGCTGATTATGATGAGTGAAATTGTTGAGAGATATAGTTATTTTAGATAAAATTTTATTTTTACGCTAACGAAGCAAAAGTAAATTAGGTAAATTTAAACTTAGCATTTACGTTCAAAGTTTGCATGCGGTTTTGTTTCAACGTAATTACGTTGATATACCTCAAGGTTCAAATATTGTATAATAGCGTTATATCTTTTCAATTACGAACCTTATTGTTATTGTTTCGAGTTGCGGATTATCTTGGGTTTATGCAGCCCAGTATCACTGCGACCATTGCTGATCTATTGTGATCTCCACATACTACAGTTCACGGTCAAGATTACATTCTACAAGGAACTGTAGTATTTTCTTGGCCGTAAGTTCTTTAATATCGTCTGGGTGCATCACGTGCTTTCCCAGATAGATACATCGTTTTCGCATTAGTAACGGGCAATCGGTCAAAATGTGCAAAGGTGTTTCTTCTTCCTCCTTGCATCCTCTGCACATTCTACTGTCGCTGATCCCCATATTGTGCATGTGTCTGTTCAGTCCACAATGCCCTGTGAGTGCTCGTACTAGTGTGCGAAGGT